CTATAATATTTATTTATTGTTATTTTTAACTTATCACAGGGTGCCAGTAGTATCCGTGGCAGAAAAAACTGGATTGGGCGGTTTTGGAAAGTACGGGCTGAGTTTTCATAGCTTACGCGGCCTCCGTCTCAAGCTTTGAGCTTCCAAATCGAAAGCTTTCACGGTGAGTTGGCTTTTTTCCTTTGTTGGTTGAAAAAGTAGGATACTCTTCATCTGTATTTATATAAACTCCTCGCCCCCCACATGGGAGGAAAACAAGTTGGGTGTTGTTTTATCTTATGTAGAATTGGATTTGATGGAAATTGGTAAATGATGTTTTTTATTAGCTACCTAAAATTTTGATTTTTGTAGTCTTGTAAAAACTAACCCTTTATGTTTGTACTCCGTTGCTATCAAACCAGTTGTTAATTGGACCACGAACCACACTGTTTCATTTTAACATACATGTTCTGATTAACTATGTTGGTTCGGTAAAGGACGGTACAATATCTAATACCACTTTGGGGGGAAAAGCCTCATCGTCTTCGTTTTGTTAGATTCTTCATTTAACTTAATTTTACTAAGGGCATCTATGTAAATGAAAATGTTTGTCAATATTTCATATAGCATGTTTGAAGGAAGATGTCCTCAAACGCAAGAAAGTCGAGGACATTCGTTTTTCATATGGGTGTGACTGGTGTGAGAGCTGGGAAACATAGGATAACAAGTGTTCCTCCGTGTTATGGTTTAGTAAAGAATTGCCACATTTTCTTAAGATAGAGATGCTTTATTTTTGTTCCTCTTTTTTTTTTGATATGTTAGGTTTGAGCTGGAAAAATATGGATCTATAGTTCCTGACTCGTGGCTTTTCTTTGAGGTCGAGTTGGTTTCTATTAGACGGCCAATGTAAGGAATTTACAGTCCACAAGGTATTCGTCAACTGGTTTGTACTTAGAGATGTCGTCTTTGTTCCTAAATTTCTGCTGGATATGATTATATATGCTTTGGTTATATGAATGGTTGTAGTAAATTTTCATATACACACACACGTGTGTGTGTCATGCAAAGAGGAAGTCACCTGGATGATTGCTTGAGCGGTATACTTTCTCTTTCATTCTTTCATAATCAACTCTTTTTTCCTAACCAATAGCTCTAAACTTACAACATAAGGCTCATCTCTTAAGTTATATAGCTTTCCTTTGTACTTGCATTCATGTATACATACAAACAAAATCCAGCACTTGCTACTCTTGACTCTGTCTTCCGTTGCTTGCAGTTTTCTCCTCAACTTGTTTCTTTGGTGGAAGCTGATCGAACACATCATCAGCATCATACAAAGCATCTTTGAGTTGCCATAGTCATTCGTTCAGTCCTCCAATGATCTTTTGCTACCCACTCTCCGCTATCTCCACAACAACTTTGATATGAGGAAGAGCTTTTTTGTGCCTCTCAAGCTTATCTTTCATCCCACTATCCTGAGCAAAATACTTATTTGCTAAACAGTTTAACCCAATCCCCACCATCTTCTCGATAATAATGGTCACTCTGACCACCACTATATTGATATCATATTGAGCATGGTATCTTGCTTATTAGCAGCAGATGTAAATTCGGCAAGTTTGATTGCAGATAGCGGTAGATGAACAAATTTTCAAAACCAACCCCTTTCACTATTTATTTTTAAAAAACGTTCGCTTTTGCAAAAAATTTTAAAAACCAACCTGGTTTCAGCCCTATCGCTGAAACCAGGTCGGTTTCTGAAATTTTTTTTACGAAACTTCACGGGAGAGTTTAACATATTTTTAAACTTCACGGGAGTTCAACTCCCGTGAAGCTTAATTTCGTGAATAAAACTCCACGGGAGTTGAACTCCCGTTGAGTTATAGGCCAACTTTCGTGAATAAAACTCCACGGGAGTTCAACTCCCATGGAGTTTCGGCCACCCTATATAAGCGCGCGCGTATCATTCCCGATCTCACTTCTCCCTCACGCCGTCGCCCCAAACCCTAGCCCTCTCCCTCGTCCCAATCGCCGCCGGCCAGGTCATTTTCGACCGCCTACCCCCATTTCCGACCGTCGGAACCCCACTCTAACCGTTGGAACCCTATTTCGACCGTCGGCACCTCATTCCGACCGTCAGAACCGTCGTCGTCGCCGGAGTTCGACAGATTGAAGATAAATTCCTCCCAAAATTATTTATTCTCTTAATTTCTTGTATTTTCTAACTATTTTATGGTGATTACATGTAAAAAATTAGATTTTAGAATTTAATTGTGAATTATTTATGAATTTTGTGAAGAAAACTTAAATAATTTTGTTGATTTAGAGGGTAAATTATCAATAATGTAAAAAATAGTGTTACTACATATGTATGACATCTAATTGATTTTAAAAAATAGTGTTATCAATACTACATATGTATGACATCTAATTGATTTTAAAAAATAGTGTTATCAATAATTTTGTCGATTTTAGAAGTTCATTGTGAATAACTTATGAAATTTGCTTAGAAAAATTACATAATTTTGTGAATTTTGCGGATTTGGAGGTGAAATTATAAAAAATATAAAAATTAGTGTTATATGACATCAATTAGATTTTAGAATTTAATTGTGAATAATTTATGAATTTTGTGAAGAAAAAGTAAATAATTGTGGATTTGGAGGTAAAATTATAAAAAATGAAAAATTAGTGTTACTACATATGTATGACATCGGTATATGAATTTGGGTAAAATTATGGTTCCCTAAAATTGATATAGGATTTAATGGTAAGTAACAATAAATTTTTAAAGTCTTTTAGTGTAATATTGATCTTGAATGTTTTACTCTTCAGAGGTAATGATGAACGATCGAATTGTAATTTTGTGTTCGTATGATGGGAAAAATAACTACCTCGAAAATAATATGCTCGTTTATAAAGGAGGTGTGACGAGACCGTTATTTATAATAAAATCGTGTACTTTCGATGAGTTGGTTAATGAATTACACAAACTTACATTAACCAACTCACGTGGGTATTACCTCAATGTTATTTGCAATTATCCTATTGTGGAGAACAGGACAAACGACATTCAAATATCAAGTGATTACGATATGAGTCTCATTGGAGTCTTACATGACGAGAAACGTTCGATCGAATTGTTCATTAAAAAACATCAAAGGAATTTGGGCAAATCGTTGAATTATGACGGAATGTATTCCCGCATGTTGGAGGACCCTGATGTTGATTCCGTTGGCTTTTTATCTCCTCAACAAGATGAAGGTTGGACACAATCACAATATATGAGCGGTCTTTCGTTTGTGGGCACTTCGAATGCGGTCGATACTAACACGGGAGTTCAAGAAGATAATGCAAGTGTTGAATCTGAGAATGGTGATGAAGAGGAGGGCTTACAAATTAATAGCATGACCTTGATAGATCGTGATGAAGGGGACAACCACCACATTGACGGGTGTTATGCTAATAATGAGTATGTTGTCTTAGAGGATCCGCTGCCCGATGAACTTCAATGAGAA